AAAAGTAGCGTTCCTGGATCGGGCTGTGAGTTGGGCACGTCGCTATTTCGAGGTTGATGCTCGCGGAATAAGGGACAAGTTGTGTGAAAGGGCGAGAGACTATCCAGAAATAGTGGACCCGGGCGCGGCGACCGTTGCAGCAAAGAAACAGAGAAAGGTGACCTTTCGGTTGCCGACCGAGGGAGGAGCGACTGCAGTTGACGAAGAGGCGCCTGAGATTTATTGGGTGAACTCCGGGAGAACCTCGAAGAAGCCAAGAAGGCCGGGGCTACACGAGGTGGGCGACGAGGATGATCAGGAGGGTGACGACGACGTCGTGCCCCATGGCAAGCGAGTCATCTGCAGCGTCGGGGGCATGCAGGCTCTATCGGACGGATACATCGACTGCTGTCCGTCGGAAATGCTAGCGGACACGGGGGCCATAGCGAGTCTGGTGGACAGGAGGGTGCTGAGGAGGCTCGGACGTGACTCGGAGCCTCTCAGACCCTACAAGGGAACGCTAGACAGCGGGTCGAGACACGCGCTCCGTGGAGTGATTGACCTCCCTGTGACGCTCGAAACGCTAGAGAAGATGCTGCCCTTCGTTGTGACCGACCACTTGTTTGTGGACGCGATCCTTGGAACAGATTCGTTGAAGGCGTTCCGCGCTGTGATAGACCTCGAGGAGCAGTCGATGACGCTGAAGGGAACAGGGGACGTGATTCCCCTGGGCGTGACGAGAGTGGAGGAGACGTATGCCGCCACGATATCGTCGTCTGTACGACTGGAACCCGGTCGCCAAGCTCTAGTGAGGTCAAGGGTTCGAGGAGCCGTGAAGGATAAGTCAGTCGTGTTAGTCGAGGGCGCTCCAGGAACGGATGATTCGCTGAGAGTCGCTCGAACGCTGTGCACGGTGATTGCTGGAACGGTGCTGGTCGAGGTGTGCAATGCTTCTGCTGAAGAGGTGGAGGTCAGGTCTGGGGCTTGCCTCGCTGCTGTGACTGTCGTACCGGTGTCGGCCTTCGCGGCCGAGACACCTGAGCGAGAGAGAACGTCGATGAACATCAGCGCGGTGTTAAGCGCCTTTGGTGGGAACATCGAGACTCGGGTTGAGACGGAAGAGGCTGAAATGGCCGCTGCAATGAAGAACGGGGACGACGATGACTTTGAGGTGGACTTCCAAGACTCGTCGTTGGGGGCGGAACAGAGGAGACTCTTCGTGGAGATGCTAAAAGAAATGCGAGATTTGTTCGTCGAGACTTCCAAGAAGCCGGGGAAGACGGAGCTCCTGAGATTCAGCATTGACACTGGAGAGCATGCGCCGATCAAGCAGCCCCCGTACCGGGTTTCGAAGGCTGTAGGGGACGTCATGGAGTCCGAGATCCAAGAATATCTGGACCTTGGTCTCATCAGGCCTTCCACGAGCCCGTGGGCGAGTCCGGTGCTCATGATAAGGAAGCCCGAAGGTGGTATTCGATTCTGTATCGACTACCGGAAGTTGAACGCCGTCACAGTGAAGGACAGCTACCCGATGCCTCTGATCGACGACATCTTGGATGTTCTGGGGAACGCCAAACTCTTCTCGACCATGGATATCGCCTCTGGATATTGGAACGTTCCGATGGACCCAGACATTGTAGAGAAGACGGCGTTCACGAGCATGTTTGGACTATATGAATGGCTGGTCATGCCGTTTGATTTGTGTAATACAGTT